ACTAAAGCCCTCGACATAAACTTGCCTCATGAACAGCTTAAAACCATCCAGGGAGCTCTGCTGGGAGGCTCCCATCCCCACACCGCCTCTGTGCAGGGATCGATGCAGTCAACTTTATCAGGACCATCAATCCTGGCTTATTAGACAGCCACAGTTCTCCCTGCTCAGAAATGCCTTGTTTTTATCTTTAGTGGAAAATGGCTTAACTTCGAACAAGAATAAAAGTACAAAGGGAACTTTTATGGCTGAATTTCACAGGAGGATGTGCCTCTTCTCAAAATGAGTGAGGGACCAGTCTGGTACAGACAGGCTTTCTCAAGGCTTATAAATAGGGAAGGGTCAGTTACATCCTGGCGGCTCCTCCAGCTCTCACGTACCCTGGCCCTTTTCTGGAGAAGTGAGCAGATATGGGGTAGACAGAGGCAGACACCAGAGCAGGTGGGGATGGCAGGCTCTGGGAGCAGAGGCTGTGCTGGCCAGACTCCGGCAGACCCAGGGGCAGGGGGAGATCACTGGTATGTGAATATGAGAGGCATAGTCATCAGGTAGAGGCTGGGGCTGGTTGTTGGGTAAAGTGGCCAGATTTTGGAGCAGAAGCGCTGGGTTTGGTCTGGAACAACCCTCCTCCATAGCAGCTCTTGGACGTGTGTTCCTTTGGCAGGACTCAGGATGCCCTGCTGCAGGCAGACTCCTGTCCTCAGTTCAGTGTCCGGCAGTAATGATGGTGGGTGGGACCGGAAGGTATGAGGACATCTCGTCTGACATACTGGTCTTCCTCCCTCCTTTTGCCTCTCCCCTCAGCCCTGCAAGTTCTGCTTCAATGTTGAGATGAAGATAGGAACCAGGAGTATGTGTATCCATTATATGTGTGTTGGGTGCTTTGAAACAGTAGCCTCAGTTTATTCAGCAGATGCTGGCTGAATGAATGTTTGCTGATGGCCAGAACAGTGCCAGGCAGAGCATGCGCAGTCGCGAGCAAGATCTGTGCCATCAAGAAGCTGTGGTCTAGTCATAGGATGGCCAACCATCCTGGTGTGCTAGGGATTCTCAGGGTTGAAACTGGGAGAGTCCTGGGCAGACTTGGATGAGTTGGTCATACTGCCTAGTCATTACTATGGTGGTGATCGGATATATGTGTCTTGTGGCATTTGGTGATGGCCAGGTGCTAGGAGGAAGAGGAAGTTTGCAAACTATTTTCTTTAGTGAGATGTTTTCTGTTCATCACATATGAGAGAGAAGACCCTGAATGATATGGAGAAGACACGTAAAACGATCATTTCCCCTGCCTTCCTCTGTCCCTGCCTCCATGTGACAGGACATGGGGAGCAGGGGAGTGGCTTGCCCAGGATCACACAGCAATTCGGGGCACAGTTGGGTCAGTGCCTGGGTGGGTTTATCCATCCCTTCTGCCCCACAATGCTCTCTCCCTATAAACTAGCCCACCTCGTCTTTCTTATCCTGCCCACCCTTCACCTCTCTACTCTCGGAGACCCAGGTTTAGGTTAGATGCTGTGCAGTCTGGAGAAAAATCACCGCGGCTGATCCTGGGAGGGCCTTGAGTGACTCTCTGGAGAGAAGGGAAGGAGGAAGGATTTAAGGAGCTCAGTACATTTGGCCAGGGTGGGTCACTTAATTATAGTGCAGAGGACCTGAGAGCTGCTGGAGATGGAACATGAGCGATTGGGGCCAAAATCCCGGTGAGGGAGAGCAGAAGGAAGGACCTGCTGGTGAGAGAAGACCTGACTCTCCTTCTAGGGAGGAGGTTTATACAAAAAGGAGCAAGCTGAGATCAGTGGCATGCATGTGAAATTCAGGCCTTATGCAGACATACATTGTCTCACTGCATTTCACGTTATTGTGCTTCACAGATACTGCATTTTCTACGAGTTGAAGTGTTGTGTTATCATGTGATGGTTAGCATTTTGTAGCCATAAAGCATTTTTAAATTAAGGCATGTACATTGTTTTTTTCAGACAATGCTATCACACACAATACACTATCGTGTAATAGAAACATAACTTTAAATGCACTGAGAAACCAGAAAATTCATATAACTCACTACATTGCAGTATTTGCCTTATTGCAGTGGTCTGGACTCAAACCTGCAACATCTCTGAGGTATACACGGATAAAATAAATAAACGTGTTGGTTTAATACCGAAAACCTACTATATGCCAGACTCTGGTTTAAGGTTGGGAGCTAGCACAGTAGCAAAATAAAGTCCCTGCTCTCAGGGAAGGTCATTATAGTGGGAGGAGACAGAAATGAACACACACAAATGTGATGTACTCTCCTAGGTGTTCTGTTATGTTCAAAAGGGTTGTCATATAACAGCTGAGTTTGAAAGAGTCTTGCATGTAAAAATAGTGATCAGTAGGGTTTAGCTTGAAAAACAAACATAACATTCCTGCTCTGCTTGGAGAAAGGTCACCAGGAGATGGATACCAGACACGGCAGCCCAGCCCATCAGGATGGCCATGGCCGTTACCGGGAGAAGTTCAACTTGGAGTGATTATGTGGAGCTTTAAAAAGGAAAAGAGAGGAGTGGAAAGCAGTTAACCCCTAACTCTGAAAAACACTTGGGAAAAACCTGAGGCTTTAGATGCTGAGGCTCTGAGAACTCAGAGGCAACCCCTGGAGATGTAGGAACAGACTAGGGTCAGTCTCATGGCTGGTGGAGTTAGTGGGGCAAGACAGTTAGCTTGTACTGATATAGTGATCTTATTAGGAGCTATTCATTACACTTTCAAAAAAGAAAAATAAAGGTCATGTGCTAGTAGTCTGACCATATAAAGTGTTTTTTAAAACTGCAATTTGCAAGTAGGTTGTGTTAGTACTTCTATCATTTTCCATTCCTAAGGAAAGGCCAGAAGAATTATTTGACGTTAACCACCACCTTTTAATTGCTGTTGTGACAGTACTATTCACAACAACAACATGTTTTTTGAAATGGTCTGATGAGCTTAAGGAGGCATCCCAGCCTTTCTCCTTCATTCAGGCTTTCTCCCTCATCCTCCTCATCTCTTCCTCCCTTCGCTGCAGTTTCCTGAGCTGGCTCCCTCCATCACCTCCTCTCTAGTCACAGCACTGTCCCCGCCACCCCACGGGCCTTTGCACCTGTGGTGTGCCAGGTGACACAATCTCTCCCCCTCATAGAGCCCTTCCCTGACCACTCCTTCCAAACAGCTGCCGGGGCACCACATTACCCTCTGACACCACATTCCCTTTCATTTCGGCACTTGAATGAAATTATATCATTTGTTTGCTGCCATGTTTGCCTGTTTCCCACTTCAGAGCATAAGTTCCCTGAGGACAGGCACTTTGTCCATGTTCTGTTTTAACCCTTAATGCAGTACCTGCCTCATGGAAAAAACTTAACAGATTCCATTAAATGCAAGAATGAATGAATTCTATACCAATCTGTTATACCGGGTGGCTTTACTCACATCCTAAGTATGAAGCAGATTTGGATAAAAGCTCGGTTCTTTCTCTTCCCCCACTCATTTTTTTCTTTTTTTTGGTGAGAGAAAAGGAGAGCTGGAAATAGAATGAGAGAAGTTTCTGTAAATTTCTGGTAACCATAGAGACAGTGATTTTAGTTTATTAATCTGCTCTTAAGCAGGCTGGGGCCCCACTGTGATTTCTGCAAAACTGCTCAGCGCTGGTTATCCTGCAGCCTTCCTCATTAAGGAAGAGCAGGCCCATCCCTATCCTGCAGCACTTTAATTGCAATGAGTGGAAGCCCTGTGCTATTATGCTCATTATTGCATTATTATGCTCACCTGACTGTGCCTCCCACTTTGGAGCAGTGCAACATGGTCACAGCCCTGAACCCCTGGAACCTTCAGTGGCCAGTGGTGGGAGCAGGCAGCCTCCGCTCTGAGCCGAGGACCGAGGCCAGGGCTACAGTTGCTGCTCTCCCCTTTCATTCAGCTGTCCTGAAGATGGGAGCGCGGTGCCCTCTGGAACAGCATTGAGTGTCAGCCAGAGAAGGGCGCCAGCAGTGGTTTCCCGTCTACAAAGTCAGGAGAAGGAATTGACATGCCCTTGGGAACCATGACATTCCTTATTGTCTGGCCTCATGATGGGGTCTAATTTTATGGTCTCATGTTCCCCTTCCTTTGGAGAGTGGAATGCAGACTTCTGTGATTTTGCCTCGTGTCATTTGGTTAAGAGACCTTCAAGTGGACCTCCAAATGGGTTTCAATGGAGCTAAGGAGGAAATGGGACAGTTAGGGGCAGTCTCTCACCTGACCACTTCTCCTTGAAGGGAGAACCCTGGTGTAGAAGTAAGAAGACCAGAGTTGAGGTTTCATCTTGGCAGTGGACACATGGTGGGGACCTAGCCGCTATGAGCCTTAGCATCTTCATCTGTGAAATGAGGTCTGAATTGTCCTTCCATTCCTCTATCATGTTGAGACTCTGCCTCTGGTTTCCACCTGTTTCTGGAGGCTGGATCCGTAAGATGGAAGAGCTATAATAGAGGCTCTAGGCAGCATTCCTTCTGGAGTGAGGCAGAGTGGATTCTGGCAGGAGGAGTCTCTGGAAGGAGACATGTTTTTCTCCTGAAGCAGGTCATCTAAGGTCTGGCCTCATTTAAGTACTGGCTGTCATTTTGGAAAAACTAAGATTTTCTTTTGGTTGCATTTCCCATCCTGTTGGATTTAGAAATACGGTGTCATTCTTCCAGTAAACATTTGGTGACAGCCTGCTGGGTTCCAGGCCCTGTACTAGGGGGGTCTAGTGATCCAACTGTTCATCTGGGAGAGTTGTTGACAAATTCAGACTCTGTAGTGGGGCAAATGGGTTTCAGTGACTGAGGGCCTGTCTGCTGTACCCTTTGTGATTATCTTAAGTATATCAAAGAGAAGACCCCGGGGGAGTGTGGACTCCTGAGCTTTCCAGCAAAGCTGGAGCCAAGACATGGGCGGGCCAGCACCTGGGGCGACCCCCACCGAGTCGGTGACAGATCTCAGAGCCTGGCTTCTCTTCTTTCCAGGTGCCGCAACCTCTCATTCCCCGACAGCCTCCCAGAGGTGAGCATCGTGTTCATCTTTGTCAATGAAGCGCTGTCTGTGCTGCTGCGTGCCATCCACTCGGCCATCGCACGCACACCTCCGCACCTGCTCAAGGAGATCATCCTGGTGGATGACAACAGCAGTAATGGTGAGTGCCTGGCTCCCTGCCCTGTGCGGGCATCTCAGCCTCCGTGCAGGGTTCTCATTTTCTACAGGCTCTCCACGGCTCTCCCTTCTCTGGGATGCTGCCTCCGAGAGGAGAGATTCACGATGGTTACCACTCTGGAAGGTTCAGTCCACAGTTGCGCCCTCTTCACGTTCTGGAGGGGCCTGGTCTCCCCAAGCTTTTCCTCGCTGGCTGTCAACTCTCTCCCTCAACATCCTAGTGCAATATGATGAGATAAATAGCCATGACCTCCACCCCCTCCACATTCACAGTGAGCCTTTCCAGTGACTCTTTTCCGTGAAGCATCATTCCACTTTGCTGTGTGCCTTGGCCTTTGCCTAGAAGATTTTTCATTGACGTTGTCCTGGCAGTGGTGGCGGTGATGGTGGAAGTGTTGATGGTACTGGTGGTGGTCACAGTGGTGCTGATGGGATCATGGTAGAAGATATATATACTGCAATGACAGCAACACAGCTGTTGAAAGTCTAGCTTCTTTTCTGCATCCCCTGCTCCACATTCCATCTGACCTGAGCAAAGCCCCAGGCGACCTGCAATCCCTTGTTGAAGCCCTCATAGCTTTTCTCCCTTTCTCCAGCTACTACCAGGTACCTCTTTCCCTTGGTACATATTCCATGACTTCCAATTCTTCCCATATATACCATCTCCTTAATAATATTTTCCAAACTTAGAGACCATGCACTGAGACAGTTTGAGAACCAGTTCTCCTGATAGGAGCTTTAATATGAATGTGCTGCAGATAATACAACCTGGTCACAGGAGCACAGTCATTGACTTATGTTATCTTTAGCATTTTCTCTGATGTCAGGTAGTAAATTTCCCAGTAAATCCATTGCTGTAATGAGAAGTTCAGATGAGAAATTTGTATTTTGTTATCAATTAAAGCTGAAACATATCAGGTAATTGAAATATTTTTAATCTCTATAAGCAAATTCTCTGTTTCATTTTATTATCGTGTAGTAAGAAGTGTAGTGTAGTGTAGTAAGAAGGGAATTTTAGAGCCTTCTGAAGGGCCGTGCTTATGAATCACGTGACTCTCATTGTTCCATGGATGTGAAGGAAGGAAAAGGCACCTAGGATGCAGCAAATAGGCAGAGGAATTTTAAAGGTGATGGCCTATTGTGAGGGTGACCTCAAGTAGGGAGACCTACCTATACAGCTACGTGCCTGGGTCCAAGGAGTGGATGCTGAGAAAGCTCCCATTCCCCAGTGGCTAACACTACAGTTTTGTGACTAGCCTGCTCGTGAACCCTATCTTGCTCCAGCAAGGCCAGCTGTCCTCCTGGCCTCTTACATTACCAGGAGGCAAGGGGTAGAAGAGCTGTCCTTCCGAGGGTGATGGTATCCCCTAAGTAAAAGACATCCCTAGGCTCCATCCCACCCCACCTCCTCTCATCACAAAAGAGAGAACAAAGCATCAAGAAGAAGGAAATCTTGGAGTCTTTCATTTCATCCCCATGGTAAAAGCTTTATTGTGGCCTGAAGAATGCTGTTTTGTCATTAATTCATGTGGAAAAGAGGGGAAAATGGAGATTGAGAAATTTAGATAAGGAAAGTGAGCCACATATAGAGGGTTTCATATTTGAATTTAAATGATTTGAACTTAATTTTCTAAATGGTGATAACCATATTTTGGTAAGAGAATACAGTCAGGACTGGGCAATGAAGGGCTTTGGATGTGGTTTATATCATTGGTTGGGGGAAAGAGACAGCTTGAAGAAGGGAACCGTATACATTGTAATTGCAGCCATATAGCAAGAAATTAAGGGGCCTGGAGTTGTGTTGGCTATGGGGACTGAGGTCGAGATATGAGCCTGAGAGGTTTTATAAAGGAAGCATCTGTTGGATCTCTTGACTGAGAGAAGGCCAAAGGAGGGCTGGTAAATGATGACTCAGTCTCAAACCAGGGTGACTTAGAGGATGGTGGTCATTCTCAGGATAGGGGGCAGGAGGAAGAGTGGGTGGGTTCTTCATCAGATCAGAGATGGGGGCCTTTTAAACCCAAAGCTCTGGGAAGTATTGAGTTAATGGCATAGTTAAATACCTTGACTTGGTGATGATTACACAAGGCTACACTTGACAAAATTGCACAGAACTACAAACACATACCCAGATGAGTGCACATATTACTGAAAAGACCTAGAGAAGCTTTGTGATTTTGGTAATGTCAGTGTTCTCATTTTGATATCATACTATAGTTGTGTAAGATGTTAACGTTGGGGGAGGCTGAGTGAAAGGGGCATGGGACCTCCTTGGGTACTTCTGTGTACTTTCCTGTGAGTCTGTAATTACTTCAAAATACAAATCAAGCAGAAACCTTCCCAGAAGATTCTAACCCACTAAGTTTGAGGCAGAATCTAACCATCTCTGCTTTTAAGAGCATCCTTGACGATTCTGTTACACAGCTCTGGTAGAGAATCTCTGGTTTAATGAATAGGATGTGTGTGTTGATTTCCAGTGCATGGTGTGAAGGGAAAGAACTCTGAAGTCTGAAGTCCCGTGGGTTCTAGGACCCTCTCCATTATGGGTGAGTGACCACAGAAGCTTTTCTCACCCTCTCAGAGTCTCAGTTTCTTCCAGTAAAGGGGGATGGTTATCCTCCCTTGCTTACCTCACCTGCCTGACGTGGTCAAGGATCTCACTGTGAGTTGAGCAACCATCATTACCCCTCCCCAGCCCCGACCTCCGTTCCCAGGACACTGCCTCACAGCTGGCCAACCGCACACTGGAGCTCGATAGGAAAGTATGGGGACGTGAATGGGGAGTCTTGTACACACATTAAATAAAGCCTTTGGTTGGGAAGAGAGGATGGAAAACTGAAGAGGGGAGAACAAAAGAAATAGAAGTTTGAGAGGATGCCGAGGATAAGGTGTTTAGGAGTCAGGAGGAAGAGGGTTAGATGATAAGAGACAGAGAGGGAATGGCCAAGTGAATCTGGAGGGTAAGCCAGACTCTGAGGACAAAGAGAATTTCAGGAACAAGCCACCTCATTGACTAAGCCCAAGGCATTCAAAGGGCTCCCCTTGTGGCTCAGCTGGTAAAGAATCGCCTGCAATATGGGAGACCTGGGTTTGATCCCTGGATTGGGAAGATCCCCTGTAGAAGGGGAAAGCTTACCAACTCCAATATTCTGGCCTGGAGAATTCCGTGAACTGTACAGTCCACGGGGTTGCAAAGAGTCAGACACAACTGAGCGACTTTCACTTTTGCAGGCTAGTGGAAGGACTCAGTCTGGGAAAAAGCCATTATATCTGAGGGGTGCGGATCATGTTTCCATGGGGTGGAAAAGATTTTTTTTTTCCCCCACTTTCTCAGTGGGAAAGGTTGGGGGTGGGACTGCAAAAGGCAGATGAAGATGAAGAGCAGCTGGGAGGCAGATGCTTCCGTCAGGGATGTTGACTGTGAAGGAGAATCTGGGGCCAAGAAGGAGCTGGGGCGATGTTTTCCACTAATTAACCATGGTCTGCAGTCATGACCCAGGATGACACACCTACTCATACCCATACATACGCACACACAATTGAAAGAAAACTTTTAAGAAACAATGTTTAATTCCTATAATGTGCAAAGTGCTCTGATATGCTCTATTATAATTTGGCCTATGTTATTCATTTCTATTGTGTTCTATGGTACTGTGATGTGTTACGATGTGTTTCTCTCTCTTTCCCAAAGGCAGATTGTTCTCATGACTCTGACTGCACATTAGAATCGCTTGGAGAGCTTTTAAGAAATCTAGGGGTGTCATACCTTAGCTCTAGTAATTTAATTGGTCTGGAGAGGGGATATATGAGGCCCTTGGTCTGGGGAGGGTGCGCCTGAGTTCTCTGAGGCCAAGGTGAGGACAGCTTCTGAGAAGGGAGGAGAGGATGGGACCCAGGGCAGGGAAACACCCAGGCTTGCCTCTGGGAAGAACGGGCCCATCTTTCCGCCCCTTGGAAAGAGCAGATGGGCTAACAGGAAGGGAGCTGGAGGCAATGAAGGGTTGGCCCCTGTGGGGAATGGGCTGGAAATCTGACCAGTAATGGGTCTCCCTGAAACCATCCTGTGCTGAGCTCTCAAGGAGGGGTGGCCGAGACATTGAGACTGTAGCTCTTGGAGGAAGGGGGCCATCTCTAGCCTTAGCCTAGGGCTGCCTGAGGACTCAGCCTGATGGGGAAGGTGCCTCTGGCCGTATCCTTGGAGGACTCCCTCTGGGGCATCAGCCCACTCAGCACCAGACTTTCACTGATTTGACATCAGGCCAACTCAGCTCAGCTAACATTCATAGGGTGCCCAGCCTGGGCCAAGGGCGTGGAGGGAGTGATGGGTTGGATCCATTCCCTGCCATCAGGGAATCCTGTGATTAAAAGCAAAGTGGGATGAGACATAACAGGACTTGGTTTCTGGTCTCAGTTCTGCCACTTGCCAGCCATGGGCCTTTCTGTGGTTTTCTTTTGTGCCCTGTGTAGGCAGCAGGCTTTGCCCTTCCCTGTCTGTTACATGGTCACTGAGGACGCACAGGGTAATGAGGGTGAACATGCCTCAAGCTGCAAAGAGAGCACTAAAGATGAGTTAAAGCGAGAGCCATAAAAAACAACAATCATAGCTGCCATGCAGCCCCCAGGTAAAAGCAACCCAGGCTTTTCTTTCTTCGCTGAGCCAGTGTGCCCTGGTGGGAAGAGCCGGAATTCGCATTAGGCCAGCTATTTAGTTCCAGCTCTTTCTAGCTTCTTCCCAGCTGTGTGTTCTTAACCTCTGTGAACCCTATTTTCCTTATCTATAAAATTGAGACATATAATTCTTACCTCTGGGATTGTTTGGAGGTTTGACTGGGATAATGCATGATGGAAGCGATGGTGTTTAAAACTCTAAGTGAAGCCTCAAGCTGGAGAACAGAGCTTTCAGACTGTCTTCCAGGTGGTTGTCACATGTTCTGTATGTTGGTGCCTCTTGTTCCCCAACTGCCCCCAGGCCCCAAGGGCACC